AACCACGCTTTTTTTTTTCCTTAAAAATATTTTCTAGCGTACCAAGAATGGAAACGGTCATCTTCACAGTGTCATGCTGGTGTGCAGTAAGTTTCCGAAAGCTTTAGAAACCAAACCCATTTTGTATTTCCTCCAAAGCAAAAGGTTTTAAATATTTACCATTTACTTTCCCTCCATTTTGAGCTACCAAAACCATAGTCCAACCTGCCTGATCATCACCTGGGGACAGCTACAGCTATACAAACCAGTCCACGCAGCTGCCGGAGAAAGGCAAAGCAATAGCTGCCGAGGAAGGTACAGCAGAACAGTGACAGAAGATGAAATACAGTTAAAACACCGTTTCCCAGTGTTATCTCATCTACAGAAAAACTTGACATCCTTCATTTGAGCCAACTATAACAATTTATTTCAGCTAACAAGGATTAAGTAATGGCTGGAGGCAATTTACAAGCTGGAGCGTTCGATGTCAACAGTTTAATCATTTAAGGAAAGCCCTTGACAGCATTGGTGATATTCTAAAGAAAACTGAAGACGACAGTTCAGAAAATTGTAATATACTTAGTGATTTTAACCAACATGGGAGACTTTCAAGTTCCTATATTTCAGTTTAGATTCAATTCTGATGGATAAATGTACCTCGTGTCACTTTTTGGTTGGAAGGGTGATGCAGGTGGTAGCTAGTTCTGTTCCTCGTGGAGCAGCATCAGCGCCCCAAAACCAGAGCTGTTACCCTGGGAACATCACCAGCAGCCTGAGCAAGAAGTCCAGAGGCTGGAGAGGGACAGGCACCACCTCCTCACCGCTTCCAGTGGGGCTTCACCCAAAAAAGGTGAAACTGGAAGAATACAGAGGCTTGTACGTACGGCTATCGGTGTCACGCCTATCAGCGATCAGAAAAATCCAGAGCCCGTTTCCCAGCTGGTGAATTCTGGAACAGTGTCAGTGACAAAGGAGTTACTCAATCTCCTTTCGCTGAAGATGGCAGTACCTAGCCCTGCTAAGGTGGAAACCATCAAGAATGCTGACTGTAAGATAAATTAAAATGAAGGAAAAAGGAGAGAAAAGCCTTCAAACCTTGGGGAATTAAAGAAGTTGCTCATTATTTTTTAATTATCATGACAAGTCACGTTTCATAGCAGAATGAAGACCCCCTGAGCTTGCACTGGAAGCAGAGAGGGCTCAGCTCAGTCCTGCGGAAGCCGAGGGCTTCGGCTCCGCTTGGAAGGCGTTCAGAAAACACGTACGCGCCCTCCGTTGTTAGAGGCCTTCGCAGGATAAGTAAGTGTTAAGTTCTTCTATTTGCAGAATTGCATTAAATGAGAGCAAGTGAGTGAATTTGACTGTCAAGTCTGGACAAAAATGTAATAAAGTAGAGAGTCATGAACATTACTCTCCCTCCTCCAGGTATGATTAACTGAACAAATACTAATAGCACAAGCCCTGCAGAACTAAGTCTCTCAGGTTTATGTTCAAGCCTCAAGTTTAAAAAGCTTTAGGGCTAGGCATAACCTACTGTCTCTCCAGAATGAGAGAGGGGTGTTGTTTTAGTTGTTTTTCCTCTTAAAATCACTCAAGATTGGTGTAAAGAAGAAAAAAAAAAAAAACCCATATTCTGGTTTCTGGTCTGGTTTTTGTTCTTGTGGCAAGGAACTACTCAGTTTGTGCTGGTGTAACGCTCTAACTTTATTCCACATCTCAATTATTTTTAGCTTTTTACCTTGTCTGCTAATTTGACGTTAATCCCAAACTGTTAGTGGCCCAGGATTTAGAGGAATTCAAAGTGAGGTAATTACGTGACACAAATTTGCAGCTCTCATTCGTGTTTGAAAGCTTCAATATTTAGTAAGCCAGGAGTTCCCAAACAGAAAAAGGAAGCAGGGCCCTTTACTTTAGGGCATTGATTAACTCACTCTAGATTAGCTAAATAAATACCAGAACACGGTTTAATGGGCTCCTACTCATAAAGGCCTCGATAGCAACACATTTTCCAGTTGGTCCCCTTCACAAAGGCACATCATGACCTCGGCCAGCAGCAGGAAAATCCAGAAGAGACGACAATGGGGCAGAGAAAACAGTATTTGTCTGGAGTCTGAACTACCGCCGTACCCTCAAAATCAACTCACAGAAACAACCCTGCCATCCACACGTTTCCTCTATTCAATCCCTCTCAAAAACGGCTCTTTTGAAAAATAGTATTTAGCCTGATAGGTAAAGTTTCAGAAGCGCACAGGGAGCGAGGTCAAAGTGTTGGAAGAGGAGAAGGAAGCTCACCCACATGCTGCTCTGCAAGAGAAAGGCACCCGCCAGCTTAAGGGGATACTATAACTTTAAACTTTGTATTTTTCAGGAGAAAAAAAATACATTGCTGGTTTGCAACAAATCACACGCATCCCCACATTTTCAAAATATGCCAAGAGAGTATTTATTAACACAGCAGGACTTACAGGTCACAAAAGATAGTGATACATAGGAGCTCGTAAGGGCGTTATCAGAATAAAGCATGCAGGTCAATACTTGCAGGAGAGAGATACCAAAGCAGATCTGAGAAGGCACATTCACACAGGAAATGTTTAGTTGAAATTAGACATTAGAAAAGCATCAAAAAACCTGAAGTTGATTAAAATATACAGAGATTTCCAATAATGCCAAAGAAAAAGGTACTTTACAGATTTGTAAGTGCAGCAAATGGATAACCCTTTGAGAATACCCGGGTGAGGGTACGCTCCCGCTGCAACAGTCGGCAGGACGCAGAACAAATTAGGTTCATACAACATGATTTGGTGCTAATTAAAATGCTTTCATCTTGGAGTGAAATGTAAATTTGGTTTAAAAGAAGCAGCCTGGTTGAAACTAACAGCATGCAGCCAGTGCTCAAAGGGTTACACGAAGTAAATGCAAGAGAAATCAGGCAACATTAGTAGAATCTACCTTCCACACAAAGAATTATAGCAAAGTTTAAAGAGACAGTATCCCCTTTGGAAGAGAGCAAAACTGAAAACCTTTCTTCCCTCAGAGACCACAGGCTGTCGTATGGGAAGCAACTCAACGATTTCTTTCTAATTCCCAGCGTAAGTAACCTACCTGCCCATACCTGGAAGCTAGGCAATGTGAAATCTCAATAGCCAGAGGATATATCAGAAAAGTCAAATCATTTTTCAGCACCTCTGTCCCACTGCTGTTTCACTGGAGATGCTACACGGTGCTTGCAAACGTACTGTTCCCCGTGCCTGGTCTCCCATTTCTCAGCAGTGAGGATGACAAAGGGATACTGTCCCTTTTTGACATTAGATTTACAGATCGAAGAAAATTAAGAAGGGAAAAAAAAAATTTGCTTTTTAACCTTATGTAAACTGAAAAAAAGGACTTGAACATCAGCAGTTCATAGCTTGAAATGCATCAAACACACATAAAGGAACACATGAGCTCAGAAGTATTCGTAACAGATCATCCAGAGCACGCTCCGCTACGAAATCCGAACAGAGTTAAATGGAGTAAAACTCCCTGTGGAAAAACATCTAGCTTGGCACCATAGGAGAATACAGACTAGTTTAAGTTTAATAAAAATAGCTTCTAATTAATACTTCAGAGTTCAAAAGTTTAGCAACAAGCACATGATCGGCTAACCCCTTTAAACAAACCAAAAAAGTCTTTCCTGCCACAAACGGCAATTATTAATCACTGATTTCTGTGGCAAAAGCTCACATCCTGTAGAAGAACTACATAAGTCAAACTACCACCAAAAGAGGCTAGAAAAATATTAGGAAAAAGTGCTTTCAAAACCAAAGTAAACATTCAAGAATACACTGTAGGTGCTATGTTTTTGACAGCTCGCTCAACTTGGAATTTTACCAAGCAGTAATATGAAAATTAAATGTCTTTGCTAATAAATTATTCCTGATATTTGGTACCCTGTTATAGAGTATCTTCCATGTCAAAGTTGCCAACTTAATTCTCTCCCCTACTTAAAAATATCATATAATGCAAAATTACAGTACTGTATATTTTCTCTACCCATATCTGCAAAAACGGAAGAAATATTTCATATGGAAATAACCAATTCTTGCAGTAACAGCTTTTACATTTACAGTTGATATGCTCCCCCCTGTTCAGAAAAGCCTTTGACTGCATAATACTTGTCGCTAGAACACAGTAATGGTTCCTGTATTATTGAAGGCCACAGAACATTTAACTACATCTTATCTTCCTATGTACATATGAAAAGAAAAAGCAGGACACTTGGGAAATTTGTTTTATGATATGCGATCAGATTGGAGATGGTCAATTCACTCTCGGGAGTACTTTCTTAAAGGGAAATTAAAGAAGGTGAAAGCCCGATAAGGATAAAGTCAAAGTCCCATGGTTTTAAATTTAGGTCCAAGAGTTACCACTCATGAGACTAGCATTTACAGACCCTTAGCACAATTATTCCCACGAGGGTTTTAATTCTAAGAAGTGTATGCAATACTTCTACTTGCAGTCCTGCAAAACACTGGCTACACAGATTAAGCCCCACTGTAACGGGAATATACTAGCACTGTTGATTAGACAGCTTCTCATTAACAGCACAAATTAGTGGTCTGCCTACCCTTTTAGAAGCGCAGAGCGGATTAAGTCCCCAAGCCAAACGCTTTGTTGAAACCAAGAGATTAAAGTGAGACACTCTGCCATTCATCTTGCTAATATAAATGGAGTGACATTGTTTGCATTAGAAAATTTTCCACTTGAATCCCTTATGTGACAATAGCTAGCAGGTACCAGTAATATGATGTTGGCAAATCTCAAAAATAAACTGGCATGGAGTTCAAACTGTTCAATCTATTTATAGTCTTCTAAGACAAACAAAATAAACACTGCCCTGCTAAGGGGCTGTTGGCTAGCGGGGGCACAGATTTAGAAGTCTTTCACTACTGAAAGACTAGTGCATAATACTGTAATTTAGCACACAGAACACTGAAATCTCCATCACCTATGTTACCAGAGCAATCTAACCAGTTCCTCACCTGCTGCGGGTGGATGCTGGCCACTAACTGTTGGCAAATCCAAAGAGCTATCAGACATGACATGCTTAAGATCTCCTCCCACATCAGCCAGTTTCATGTCAAACTGAACAGACAACGCGTCTTCAGAATCCTCCTTGCCGACACTGCTGCCACCAATAGAAGGGAGATCCAGAGACTTCACCGAAGCAGAATCTTCTTTGGCCTGCTTGAAAGCTGCGACTTTGTCCACCAGGGACTTATCCACGCTGTTGCATGTGGACGAAAACTTGTTAGAGTGAAAGTCAGCAAAATCATCATCGCTCTTCACTGAGGAAAGCGCGTTGTCCTTCGCCTCCTCAAAGCCTGCTCCAGAGCCTTCCAGAGAAAGCTGTTTGAAGATATCATATTTGGTGGGTGTAGCAGCGGTGGCAGAACTCTGCCCACTCTTCACCGTGCTGGCAGATGAGCCAGATTGAGGAACAGGACCGGCCTCTAGCTTAAGTGCATTGTATTTGTCATCTGTTTTTTGTTCAGAAAATCCACTGCTACTGTTGAAAGCCATAAAATCTGCAAAGTCATCTTGTCCACTGGCTGATGCGCAATTAGAAAATTCCCCAAAAAGGTTGAACTCTCCAAAGTCATCAGCTAAGCTTGAACTTTTGCTGGGTGTTGGTTGGGCAGTGGTGGATGGAAGGGGTGGTGGAGGAAAGGAGCCCGATTTTGATGTATTAAATGCAGGTGGAAAGGACGGCTGCTTGTTTTCTCCAGTAGAGGAAAAGAGATCCAAGTCTGCTAGATTCAAAGAGGTCTTTGCTTGTGTTTGCTGTTTTGACTGAACAGGCAGAGAAGGGAAGGATGTAGGGAAAGTTTTGTCTTTTGTAGGTGGCTCTAATGGTGAGATACTGTCAGCGGTTTTAAAATCTGTGAAACCATCATCAGTTCCTGCAGGCTTGAATTCTGCAAGGTTATCTCCTGAGAATAAAAACAACAAAAAAACAATATTAAGACACTGCAGTGACAACAAATACGTCATACTCACACCATGCAAGCAAGCAAATTATTTCATGCAATGTCAGAAGTTTTTATGCAAACTATTTAAATTAAGACCTCAGGATGCACATAGAACTGCAAACTCAACTTCTACAAACCACACAAGTTTCAAGGTCAGCAATTCTAATATTCACTAATATCTATTCCAGCAAACACTAAAGTTTTTCAAATAGCGTCAAAGTCTTATTAAATTCCCTTTATACTGAGTTAATATCAAAACAAACCATGACCGATAGATTCAAAAGGTGCTGTCTCATTCAGCTTCCACCTAAGTTCTTTTTCCCACCTCATACTTTAGATATTTGCCAAGCAATGGATGTAATCTTGAATTTCACTTATACCGATACAGTATCTGCCTTCTTACAGAAGCTATTCTCCCCCTCCCTCCCTTCAAAATATTTCCTAAATACAGTTTATTCATGGGGCGTCAGCAGCAGGTTGAGACAAAAGCAACCCTGCTGCTAAGCTGAAAGGGGACATAGTAGAGACCAACTGGACTTGCCCGGTGGCTGAAGGTACTCTCCAAAGAATTTCACTTGAAAGAAGGCAGCCAGCCAACAAGCCTATCCAACTGGGCATAATGGGGAACACAACGGGTGGAAGAGACAAAGCACCAAAGAGAAAAGAATGCAAGGCAGTGATCCTAATGTGGTGTTTTAGAGCATCTTAAAGCTCTCGTTTTAAACTATCATGTTTTCCTCCTGTCAGGTTCACCTAAACGTACAAAAGGGTTAAGTGACCTGAACTTCAGTAAATGTAGTAACTGGGGCGTCTTCTAGCTTCTGCTAGGACGGATTACAGTTTTACTAGGAAGCTTGGAGACAGACTTTCACATGAAAGTCAGCATAATTAAGAAGATGTGCAGATCTCTAGTTCAACTGCATACTGAATGTAAGATAGTACTATGTAAGGATTTTAATTTAAATGCGATTAAACATTAGGTAACAATGTTTTCATTGAATTTACATTAAATATTTTGGTGTACTAATTTTGTAAGTTTCTTCCTGTTCATACACAATTATTTTTTCATAAAGCAATTTCTTCTGAACATGAAGAATGTTGAGTTGTTTAACCCATTCACCAGCATATACATACTTAGATTACTTGTAATTTTCAAGTTTTGATGCATACTTTAAGGCAAGTGTCCAATAAACAGATTTTGTTCTATTTTAGAAGTACACTATTAACATTTAACTCTGAAGCTACCAGCATCATACTTTAAATTAGTTTAACCAAGATTTAAAAGAATACTCTTTATAATGATAGTACAGAACCACGATTATACCTGACATTATTCCATTCTCCCTCCCCCCCAAATCAAGTAACTTGGCCAGCAACAATACAAATATTCGTGAAATTGCTATCCATGGATCAAAACTAAAGACATCACAGCAAACTAAACTTACTGATGAATTGAAAACTTTTCCATTAGAAATGTAAGCTGGTGAAAGGGTTAAGAGTGGTCAGACCTGGAGAGCAGGCAAATATAGTAATTTTCTATATTTTCAAACATGTACAGAAAGAGATAAAATGTTATTTCATTTCATTGCAGGTATTTAATCCTGAAGAGATACTGAGCATGAAAACATCACAAAACATTACAGGAGTTTCGGAAAAATCAGTGTCTGAAAAAAAGAATTCCGTCTTTGAAAAATAAGGAGTAAATTCAGGCAAGTAGTTTTATTCTAGAATCTGAAGTTGTCTTCTAATAATGAAACAAAATGCTGGGTATAACATAACTTGGTGGAAGTCAGGTTAAGTTAGTAGTATGTTTATCTTCTGATCTGTCTGCCGACAATATACGAACGTTTTTCCCCCATCTGATTAGAAAGATGAGATTATCACTTATATTGCATAAATGAGTTAGATATAGATGGTTCTGGAAAAGGCTTAGGGAGACTCTGCTTTTGTAGTTACAGAGATGTTGCACCTCAGGTGCCATCTAGGTTTTACTTTTCCCAATCAAAACCAGTTAAACACAAATTTCAAAATAAGTGATCAGATTTATTCTTAGGGCACCAGAGACCACGAAAAGTTTAAACTCTGCCCTAATAATGAAAAAAGTTGTCCAGAAGCATCTTATTCTGTCTTCTAAGCATACATGACTCCTTAGTTAAAATGAACAAATTCCAGCCATATTCTTATTATAAAATAAAACTCAGAAGCATCCAAAAGAGATGCCAACTGTCTAGAAATACAATTTGGAGATTGTTCCGATAGCATATTGCACTATTTTTTTCAGGATACTTCCTGCTAAGTTGTTTAGAGGAGTGGAAGCACTACTATTCTAGAATTCTAGCAATGGAAATTCTGCAGCTCAAAAATAATAAACATGAAAACATGTTAAAACAGCACCAAAAACCATACTGCTTACCTAAGTATTTGCTCTCTGATGGTTGTTCTAATTCACGGAAAGCACTATACTTGTCTCCACAATCTGGTGAATATGAGAAAATGAATACATTTACATAAAGATAGTAGGAATTCATATAATAAATTTTATATTGCCATAATTGCTCTGACTTTAAAATATTAGCATTTTATCAATGCAAAAACCAAGATATATGAAATATTGCCATAAATTGCTCATAGCAGTTGTGTATTTTCCCTTTACCTCCAAAAGTAGCTGTACTTTCAGAAGGCTTCTCAGCTGCGATTCCTTTAAACACAGCATACTTATCAGTTGATGAGATTGTCTTATTACCTGGGAGTGGCATTAGTAAAGAAGGAACACTAAAAACAAAAGAGATAAAAGCAAAAGTTCCTTAATTTATCCATAAGAAACTACATTTCCAGGTTTTATTTAAAGGAGCTTCTTACTATGACTACACAATTTGGATCACTAAACCTAAGCTTGAACCCTAAAGAGTTCTTTATCAAGAACCTGATGTAAACTACCTCAATATCTTTTAAGAATAAGAGCATGTAAACAGACAGCCGGGTAACTGATGGGTGAATTCTCATTTTATCTCACCTAATCATATTTCTTTAGGCAAGAAGTCAATTTTCATCCTTCTTGATTTTAATTAGTACTAAAACATGAACAAAACACTCCAGAACTTTACACCACAGGACTTCTTAGCCCAGGAGACAATAAGCACGCAGACATACCCAGGAATCACTGCTGTTCAGTTTATCACTTTGCCCAGGGCAGCATTAAGGACAATTCTCCCTGATAAAACTAGATACAGTAAAGAGTTAAAACTGCATGAGATTTTGCCAGCTCTACACTTTTAGCTTATCTACTTCTGATTATATTTCATTACATATTGCAAAATTAAGAGAATAAAGTGGAACCACTGTTCAAAAGGAAGGAAGTGATAACTTTGAATTTCTGTCGGTGCACATCAGGGAGTTTAGGTAGCTATCTAATCAGCAAAATAAGGATTAGCCCACAGTTACACAAGCGAATCTTTTTGCACGTAAACACACTCTATACAGTAAAAGTGCCATAATAACCTATCACCATGTTAGCAACTGCTGTAAGATTTAGAAGACATTCTGCGAGAGCTTTGCTTGCCCTCCGCACAAGCCCCTTTATCAGACCTTGGCAGCTCTACAGAACAACTTCCTTTACATACGAATGATGCATTTTACCTCTAGTTTATGTCATTCAATACTATGCACACTGAAATAGTGAATGAATTTTTATGGCGTTCTTTGGCCTGAAGCAAGAATCTTTCCAGAGCCATTTAAATCTCCTTATCAGCAGCCTACAAGCAACATACAAACCTAGCACTTACACACACGTGCTAATGACGGTGTGATGCTTGCAGACAGTGCAATGTCAAAAAAAATATAGCTTATGGTAATATAATTAAATTTCACATCACTGCAAAACAGGCTGTTAGATATGCAATCTTGGCAAACGCAATGGTTAATCATCTGTACTCTACAGATGGGGTTTTTTTAAATAAAGCTCCATAAGCAATTAGATTATAGCTCATTGTAACATTCTGCTCAAAACCGAACGCTTTTACAACTGAATAAAGAGAACTGCTGCAGTGAAAAAGAAAGATAATTTTTTTTTTATGATCCCCTACTTCCCATTGTGGAATTCACAAACAATGTTTCTGTTAAAACCTTCAGTAACAGAATAGCCTTAATTGCAAAATGACGTCTAACACAAATTGAGGTGTACTTAAAATAGGGCATCTTCAGATGCATGTGGCATTGACATCAGCAAAATTAAATTTCTTACATAGAATGCCTTTAGGCATGGTGTAACAGAACAATTTGTTTTAGTATCGCCATTTGACGTCACCGTTGAGGAAGCAACTGGTAATCACTGCTTACCTAGAAAACGCTAGTTCTATCTGCAACTAAGAACAGCCAGTTCAATACACAGAAAACTTGTATGTCTACAATTAGACACCTGGGAGGTACATAAAAGTTTGCCACGTGCGGTAAAAGGAAACAACACTGAACTTTTGTAATCACAGGACTTTGAAAGATTAATTGTAAACTCTTAAAGGGAGTAAACATGCTTACTTATTTTGTTATACAAAATTTGCCTGACCCGGAATTACATTTTGGCAGTCTCCCAAATGAAAAGCCAAGATTGCTCAAGTCTGAATGAGATTTCAATGGAGATTTATAGTCAGTTATCGGAAGTTTAAGTACTGTCCAGAGAAACAGCAGAAACAACAAAAACCCTGTGCACTAGAGTTCTCAGTCATTTAAGAATACGATGTCGTGCTCTTTGCATGAATTTTAGGGCCCATATTCAGGGCCTGAAGAAAGACTTTGGTGTCAGCTAATGGTTTCTATCAACTCCAACAAATATGGGGTCATACTTTTAACGGAAGCACACAGCACTAAATGCAGAACTCCTCTGTCCCAGTGTATTCTTTCTGAATAGCTTCATGTAAGATTTTCACCTGAATGCACAGTATGAAGTAACTTTCAATTGCCTGTGCAGTAGTATAAACACTTGAAAACCTATTCCCATACCTTGTAAATACGATTTACCTCAGCATGATGAGGTAAGAATTTAGAATGCTAAAGAATGGCCAACCACCTATGGCACATCAAATGTCATTTTTGATTCAGAAAGCCTAATTGTAGTTGTAACAACCTTCAAAAGAAACTGCCAGAGTAGAAGTCAGGTGACAGAAGAAAATTACAGGCTAGAAAGCTACCCACAAAAGAGGAAAACATTTCATTTCTCAAGAGAGTTCTAAAATACTGAAGGCGTGGAAATCAAAGATCTGCTACCTGCTCCGGTGCTGTGAACTGGCTGCCTTGGAGGAGCCAGCTACATCCCCTTGGAAATCAGTGAAAGAGTCATCTAGTGAGCCAGACTTTGAAGCATCTTGAAACTCCTGGAAGTCATCATCTTCTGGTTTGACTACCTGAATTACAAACAACATGTGAATTGCTATGCTGTTGTCTTTTCAAGTTGTCATATAGCATGAAAGCAGTTCAGAGTAGCGTGACTGACTTAAGAGGGGGTTGGAAAAAAAAAGGCAAAAGGAGGGAAAAACCTTTCAACATTAGCATGCAAAGTTAGCATGGTCAGTGTTTCCACTTTGCCTGCACTTTACCCAAATCAAAATACACACAAGATGTACAGGATTGCAAGTAGGATGCATGAAGAACAGGTGACTAAGGAACTCTACTCCTTTTGCATTAATGTATTATTGATCATAGTCATGTAATCTTTTAATACAGGACAACTATGAATAATTTAAATCAATCAATAATTTAAAATCAATACACACAGCAAAAGCATCAGAAGAAATGTTTTCCCAAGAAGGATGAACCATATTTGCAAACAGCAAAATTTGTCACCCACATGATTTACACTGTTGTAAGTCAAAGGTTTTCATAGTTCTCAGCTTCTCCTGAAAACTCCGACTTACTTTACCAGCTAACAGAGTCTGCTGTGTAGTTTAACCTAAAATTCCACTTTATGTGCTTTACAAAATCCTAACTACAACTAAAACCCTCTTTCAATGCAGTTAGTTCGTAACGGAAAGCACTTTTGTACCTCTTCTAATGCCACCAGAAAGAAACGGAAAAAATAAAAGAACATCCTTAGTGGCAAGACTTCATGTTTTTGGACGTCACGTGCCAGATTTCAGCTCCACTTTTTGCCGTTTACTTAAAGCCTGTTGTGACTACGTAGCTCTGGAAGAGTCAGGCCAATTCCCCGGCCAGGAGAAGAGAGGTTTGCCACGCAGCAAGGGCAAGCTAACCTGACTCGGCGGGTAGGGCGGGAGGAATCCTCCGGAAGGCTGTGCTGCAGCTCCGCCC